TTGTGAGTAAAGAAATAATCCAGGACTACTCTGAAATCCGAGTCGACACATTACACATGAAGAATCTGTTGCATCTCGGCGAAGACCGATACCTAACCACACTGCTCCTGAAACATCACTCCAAGTACAAGACGAAATACATCTTCCACGCCCACGCCTGGACCATTGCACCCGACAGTTGGAAAGTTTTCATGTCGCAGCGCCGCCGATGGATCAACAGTACCGTGCACAATCTCGTTGAACTGCTGCCGTTACAGCAATTGTGCGGTTTCTGCTGTTTCAGCATGCGATTTGTCGTCTTCCTGGATCTGTTATCGACCGTGATTGCGCCGGTCACCGTGGCTTATATCGCTTACCTGATCGTTCTCCTCGCCACCTCGTCTGACGTCATACCGTTGACTGCATTCATCCTACTGGGAGCGATCTATGGTTTGCAAGCCATCATCTTCATCCTTCGCCGTAAATGGGAAATGATCGGATGGATGATTGTGTACATTCTGGCCATGCCGGTCTTTTCTTTGGGCCTGCCCCTGTACTCCTTTTGGCACATGGACGACTTCAGTTGGGGTAACACGCGTCTGGTGACTGGTGAAAAGGGTAAACAGATTTTGATCTCTGACGAGGGCAAATTCGATCCCGACTCGATCCCGAAGAAGAAATGGGAAGAGTATCAAGCAGAACTATGGGATGCTCAAACCCAACGCGACGACGAAAGGTCTGAGGTCTCAGGCTACAGCTACGCAACCAAGTCGTATCATCCTGCCGGGTCCGTCTATGGTGGCCCTGGAGTCTATGAAAGCACAGCGCATCTGATGGCTCCTTCCAGATCTGCATCACAGCTAGACATACATCCACCGGCGTATGGTTATAACCATTCCAGGATGTCCCTCGCGCCTTCGGACATGATGGGCGGCGGCATGATGGGGGGAGGTCAATCAGTTGCCGCTATGGACATGGCAGATTTGACTGGACTGCCTACTGACGATATGATCCTGAACGAAATCCGGGACATACTCAAGTCGGCGGACCTCATGACGGTGACGAAGAAGAGCATCAAGCAAGAATTGGAGCGAAGATTCAACGTCAACCTGGACATTAAGCGAGCTTATATTGGCAGTGGTAAGTTGAGCCCGTCACTTGAGCCATGAAGAAGACACTAACCCGTGGCGCAGCAACCGAAGCCATTCTCTCGGGTCAGCTGTGATTTATCGACATAATCTAACATCTGTGTTGATCTAGCGAGATGTTTCAACGGCAGATGGCAGGAGTTCAGGATGACCAAACAAAAATGGGCGGCATGGTATGCATTATTTATAGGAGACGGGACTCCATGGCAACATATAATCATTTCGAGACAGGATGGATGCATTTGTAATTGAGAGAGGAGCCGGACATCAGAACAGGATAGATGTAGCTGGATCTCAAGGTATCTGAACGTACCAAGTATCGCGCTGTCCTGAGGACTTGTGAACAGTGTCTCTCGGTCTTCAGGCTGACCACTGTGTCATGCCAGGTAGGCGGGTGATCTTGAACAGGAACCTGAATAAGCTCACCAAGCTTTTGGTTGAAGCTTTTAACACGGGCCAAAGATGCCGCCCCAAGGTGGCCCTGGCGCCCCTGGCGCCCCCGCTTTGGAGGGATGCGGTCATTGAACCCCCCAATGACGCCCAGTGATGCCCAATGGACGCCTAGAGCGACGAGCTGCTGGGCATCCTGCATCACCCGCACGCGATAAAGGATCATGCCCTTCTGCACAGGCCAATAAGACCATGGGACCTTGATGGCGCTTTCAAGATTCAGGTCTTGCTGGCGCGGCCCTCAATCTTCTTACCACTCGATCCTTCTCTCGCAGCGCCAAAGCTTGAAAGGACTCGTAAAAGCTATAACAGGGAATCAATAATTTCCCGATTGCGGCGCTGCCCAGAATTTGCCACGACGCCCAGAGCTGAAATCTCATTTCCGAGTGTTTTAGCAATCAGCTAGCGGAGGCAGTTTCTGCTGCGTGATGCATCAGCAGAGACTCGTCTGATCACTGCGACGACTCGCTGCCGCCATGATCCCCAAGAAAGTCTACGAGCTCTGCCGACGCGGCGAGTCGGTTACTTCCGAGCTGGCCAAAGACCCCTCCCTCTCTCCTCACGCGGCAGCAAAGAAGCTTTTTGGCGTCAATTTCGACGATGAGGTTGTCACCAAGAAACTGGACCTGGCCAAGGAAGAACCCAGTGATCTGGAAGAGGCCCGCAAATGCGGAAAATGGGGCAGGTCCAACCCCAGCGACCTGTTCCTCAGGGTGAGAAGACCAGTCGACCGGGATGATGCGGGAAGGAGGGATTCTGACCTCACAGCTAGATCTATCATGATGTCCTGTGCACGCTGGAGAAAAACCCTTTGGTGGGCGTTTGCTCGCCGTCACTCCTCGGAAGCAATGGCGTGTGCCCGCTCACAATCATGGCAACGGTTCCTGACATCTGCCGACACATGTCCAACGTGATAGCGAAGGCAGAACGAGAGGTTTTCCTCGCAACCAACTTTTGGATGCATTCAGAACCTACCAGGCTGATTACAAATGCGCTAAGAGAGCTTTCAAAAAAGGCTGTCCAGACCAACCGCCGGGTCGTCGTCAAGATCATCTACGACAGGGGAAGTGCGAAACAGGTAGGTCTCAGGACTTTACACCCTCGCATGTCGGCCTGTTGACAGGAGGAGTTTGTGAAAAATCACCTCATAGTACCGCCGAGCGAATTTGCGGATCCAAAGGGCAAAATTCGAATTCCTCATCCCGATGAGCTGCCAAATGTCGACATCGAAGTCATGAATTTTCACCGCCCGATCTTCGGCACCTTTCATGCCAAATACATGGTCGTAGACCGCCGAATTGCTATTTTGCAAAGCAACAACATCCAAGACATCGACAACGTGGAGATGATGACACAGTGGGAAGGTCCAATTGTTGACTCATTCTATGATCTTGCGCTCATTTCGTGGCACAATGCGCTCAAGCCACCACCGCCGCTGTTGAGCCAGCCTGCTGCGGATGGTCCAATTCCCACATTCGCGAGCGAGAGCTATGCGACCATGTTTGACGAGAATGGAGAGTTGGTCCCCGTGTATCAAGCGTAGGTTGGCTATCTTGTATTGTAAATGTGCCTCCAGTTGTGCTAACCCTGCAGCAGGCCCCCGCCGGTCCCTGATGGGCACGAGAATCTGAGAGAGCTTGCTGAGTACGGTTCGCAGATCGACATGCCCCAACACACATCACAAGACCCTCATTATGACCCAGACATCAAATCGGAGGTCTTGCGCGCTGTGGCGTTTTTGAACCCGCGCGAAGGGGAGACACGGATCAATGTAGTCACCCGCCTCCTCAACACGACAATTCAACCTGATACGAAAGGGAGCGCACCCGACACTGAACTGGCTGCCGCAATGAACCCACTCATACCGATGCCACGACATGACCCTTTCCCAATTGCCATGGTTTGTAGACCGCCATGGGGAACGCCGAACAAGCACAGTCTGCACACCCCGCAAAATGAGGCCTTCGCGTCTGCTCTTCGTCATGCGACGGAGTCGGTGTTCATCCAGACTCCCGACCTCAACGCCGAAGCCCTGCTGCCCGAAATTGTGGCTGCTTGCCGACGCGGGGTCAAGGTCACTTACTACTATTGTCTGGGATACAATGATGCGGGAGAACTGCTACCTATGCAAGGAGGACACAACGAGATGATAGCCAATGGACTGTACCGCGACGTAGGATCCGAACATCGCCAAAACCTTGACATCTATGCCTACGTAGCCAAAGACCAAATCCACCCAATCCACAACAAATTCAAACAACGGTCATGCCACATCAAACTGATGATCGTGGACGGCCACATTGGAATTCAAGGCAACGGCAACCAGGACACGCAAAGCTGGTATCACAGCCAAGAAGTGAATGTCATGATCGATAGTCCATTGGTGGTGGGTAAATGGATGGAGGGAATCAAACAGAACCAAAACACGCACATCTATGGAAAAGTCGAGAAGGAAGGACCTGATGCTGGATGTTGGAGAGATCCGAAGACCGGACAGCAGGCCGAGGGTGCGATTGGTGTTGATCCAGGCAAGTTTGCGTGGGCCAAGGGGTTTGTTGGTGCAGTGCAACGGGTGCGAGGAATGGGTGGGTTTTGAGCACGCAATGGTCGATACAGGGGCTGTTCGGATATGTGATGGTAATATCGGAAAGATAACGACTATATTGGCGTTGAAGAATGTCCGGGCGATGAGTTTAAGCAAAGATATTGTGATATGCATGGCGCAGTGTCAATTGGACAAGCTCGGTTTTGGATAATGTCCGAGTCTAGAGACCTCTAGCCGGAGAATTGATCCTCCGAATTCCGCTTCACCTGTCCAGTCCGCATGTCTTCACTGTCGACAGTTTGCTATTTGGCGCCTCCGAGCAAATCAGCATCGTTCAGCTGTAGATCATCAGTTCTCGTGCGTGGACCGCAAAGCTCCAGCCATTGGTTCGCGGTCGTGTTCGGCTCGGCGTTGTGCCACCTTCACCATGCTTGTACCTGGAGCAGCAGCATATGCAACATGGCGACTTCGTCCAGCTGGCCAACTGACACCTACCACGATGTCTGTGCGACCAGCTTCGCCGATGTGCACTGTCTGTTTGTCGGCCACGTAGCGTCGACCCTGCAGAAATGGTCAAGTTGCTGAAAACCTCCTTGGGCCTCGAACAAAGTCGTCCAGATGACCCTCTTACTTTGCATCAAGTGCCTATTTGCGAAACTACAGCCTCAACTCATTGGGACTGACGCCAGGGGCTACGTTTTATATTGCTCTTGAAGGTGAGGTTTGCTATAAATGCCTGTCTCTCGCCCCGAGTGCACGTTCGGGTTCAGCTCCATCGACTCTCGTCCGCCAGAGTTGCAAGCGGGATATGGCAAGTCCATACCGCCTCAGTGATTATTTCTCGCGAGTTCCATCGGTTTCCGCCTCCTCATACCTCCATGGGCAACTGGCTGCCCAAGGATCAAGCCCATATCAAACAGCGGCTTGCCACAAAGCTGGAAAAACTCGAGAAGAAGCAACAGCTTCATAAAAAAGGAGTCATCACTCTCGACCCTAGCATCGTCGCGCTCCAGCAACTCGTTGCGGCCAGCCCTAATCTTACCAAATTTTCCAGTGATATGTTCACTTAGATTCCCCCTGCCTACCAGGATGACCCGACTGGCAAGCCCCAACTTCGCGACTTTGAAACAATGCTTGGACTCGTCGACATGATCCTCAAAGGACCACAGTGGTTTGACGTTCAGGATCCGCCAACCGCAATGGGCTTGATTGGATTCCCGATCAATGCGATTCCCGATTGGACAATGGGTCCTCTAGCCGCCTATCTCTTCGTCATGGAAACCCAGCTCAACAGCACGTGGCAAGGCATCCTGAATGTCTGGGGCACATTCCCGCCCGGCGTCTACCAGCTGTCTCAACCAATCCAGTGGATGGTTGTCTGCTGAAGCTCTGAACGTTCTTCTCGCCAAGGGCAATGATGGCAAGACGGACTACACATTTCAACAGCTCTATGAATGCAAACCATCACGTCCGTTCTTCGGTTTCACTTCTTCGGACATGTTCTTCACCCGAAAGTTCAACCCTGGGATCCGGCCCGTCGCATCTCCAGATGATCAGCCGACAGCAGAGCAGCCAGACCCGACGCAAGTCATTGCCAATGCTTGCGGGTCAACGTCTCTCCAATTTGCCACCAATGTCAAGCTACATGACACCTTCTGGCTCAAAGAGCAACCTTACTCGTTGGCTGAGATGTTAGACAATCATCCCGAGACTGAGCAATTTGTGGGTGGTTCAGTGTACCAGGCATTTCTCAGTGCCTTGCAGTACCACTGCTGGCAGCCTCTGGGAAGGTGGTTGACCTTCGCCATGTCTCAGGATCGTACTACTCGGAGAACCTCTCGCAGGGCTTCGAAAATCCAGAGTCACCCAATGCCGCCGCACCAAACAACTCTCAACCATATATCTCCGCCGTGGCAGCACGTGGGATCACCTTTGTCGAAGCTGACAATCCTCTTTATCGGGTTGATGGGGATTGTATTCATAGGGATGGCAGACGTGTCATCGTGCAAGTTTACTGTCGGGGTAGGGAATCGAATCGACAAGGGTCAACTGATAGGTATGTTCCATTTCGGCGGTTCAACCCACTGCTTGGTTTTCCGGCCGCAGACGACCTTGGCCAGTCACAAATTTGTCAACCCACCGCCATGCGACCTGAATGCCTCGAGCAACAACCCGGTCTGTAGTGCTCTGGCTGTGGTTACGCCGCCTCCGTCGAGCTGTTGAGGGGAGATAGACAATATCGACAATGATGGTCCAACAAGCACGAGTTCATCAGCGCAAAGAGGCAGAAGAAGAAAGGGGACCCAGGTTCAGCAGCAGCAGGTAGAGAGATTCGGTCGCAGACAGCATGGACGTTTTCCCCAAATCGTGCCTGCGGCTTCAATTCCGCCATGCGTGAACATTACCCCGAACTCATATTAAATACATATGACCTTGAAGAAGAGAAACGCGAGTTGTTTTCGCGTCTGTTTCTGCCTTATTCGACGACGACACGGCAGACGCTTCGGCTTCCTAGCCCTGCGTCCTGACTTCGAGCCTAGTATTGGAGGTTGATTCCGGTGGAAGAGTGAAGAGAAGGACTGTGAGACTGAATGACTTAAACTTGATCCCGCCTCGCTCGGGATCAAGCCGACGCCGACAGCGACATCGGCAATGGCACAAGGGAGAACACAACCCCACAACCAAGCGGATTGAAGCCCCCCAGCCCCGCGTCCATGGAGCCCTTCTCTCATATGGTTATTCGTTCGAGACGCGGTGACTGGCTCATCAACAAGAGCCGAATCGATGCGCCATAATACCTCCTTACCCCATGGCAGTTCACTCCCTGCTGCTCGGCCAGCATCGGGTCTGATTCTGGTTGCCATTGCCATTGCCTTTCGAGGGAGGGGGTGTTTACTATTAAAATGTCTGACTGAAGAACCGGGCCCTGCTTTTCTCACATCTCATTTCAGTTGCTCACCAGTTCCACTGAGCTATCACAATCCTAGATTTCTCCCTCTTAAACCAGGATACACTAGACACGCCTCTTTGTTCGAGTCCCAGCTTACCTCCCAAAACCGCCGGTCACATAGAGACAGAGTCCAATCTAACTGATCAGGACAACCAGTCGCAGACCCAGTTCACTATGGGTTCCGTCGCGAAGTCGTACGTCTGTCCTGTTCGAGCTGATCAAGATCGAACGGAAATGGGACTGACAGACCAATCTTGCTTGACAGCGACTACACCACCTCCTATGCCTTCTTCGAGGCCATCTGGGAGGTAAGACTGCGGAACTGAATGCTGTTGGGGGGTCTCTAAATCACTGACCGAGCACGCTGTATAGGCTGGCATCACCCATGTCTTTGTCAATTTGGGCTCCGACCACCCGTCCATCATCGAAGCCATCACAAAAGGCCAGAGGGAGAAGCAGGAAAACTTTCCTAGGATCATCACCTGCCCGAATGAGGTATGAAGCCACAAGATTAGTTGCTGCGCGCGAACCGACTTGATGCTAAGACATCTCACTCATACAGATGGTTGCGCTCTCGATGGCCGACGGCATGGCGAGATTGACCAACAAACCCCAGTGCGTCATTGTCCATGTCGACGTCGGAACCCAAGGTCTGGCCGCCGCCGTCCACAACGCTTCCTGCGGACGAGCACCCGTCCTCATCTTCGCCGGCCTCTCCCCATACACAATCGAAGGCGAGTACCGTGGTTCGAGAACGGAATACATACACTGGATTCAAGATGTGCCAGACCAGAAACAGATAGTGGCCCAATACTGCAGGTACACCGCCGAGATCAAGGGTGGCAGGAATGTCAAGCAGATTGTCAATCGGGCTCTACAATTCGCGACCAGCGATCCTCAGGGACCTGTCTATCTCTACGGAGCCCGCGAGCCCATGGAGGAGGACATTGAGCCATATCATGTCGATCAGCAGGTGTGGAAACCTGTTGGACCAGCAGCCCTGCCACAAGAAGCTGTCTCACTTATCGCGGAGGAACTGGTCCGGGCTCAGGAGCCCCTGCTCATCGTGGGCTACACCGGCCGCAATCCTGCCTCGGTGACAGCCGCCGTGGCATTGGCGGACAAGATCCCCGGTCTTCGCGTACTAGATACTGGAGGTTCCGACATGTGTTTCCCAACAGATCACCCAGCGGCTCTGGGCTTACGGTATGGAGCTGACCCGGCAATTACTACTGCGGATTTCATCCTAGTGGTGGACTGTGATGTACCCTGGATTCCTACCCAATGCAAGCCTAAGGCTGACGCCAGGATCATTCACGTTGACGTCGACGTGTTGAAGCGGCAGATGCCCGTCTTCTACATCCCGGCCTACGCTCGATTCAGTGCTGATTCCGCAACCTCGTTCAACCAGCTGAATGAATACCTGGCTTCACATTCGAATCTTTCTGCGGCTTTGTCGGACGAGGCGCACACCGCTGCGGCAAGAAAGAGACAAAAGTCACACGCAGCACGTTGGAGCCAATTTAAGGAGCTCGCTCAATTGCCTGCAGATCCGTCGAACACTTCGATAAATCCGCACGTGCTGGGTGGCCAAATCAGAGCAGCGGTGCCTCAAGACACCATCTTTGCGGTCGAAGCCGTCACCCTCAGCACCTTCATCGCCGACCAGATCGCCCCTGTCCAGCCGAAATCATGGATCAACTGCGGCGGCGGCGGGCTCGGGTGGTCCGGCGGCGGTGCCTTGGGCATTAAACTCGCGTCGGACTTTGTGCACCGCGACATGCAGTCTGGCGACCGGTTCGGAGCCAACAAGGGCAAATTCGTGTGCCAGATAGTCGGAGACGGCACATTCATGTTCTCGGTCCCTGGATCCGTGTACTGGATCGCCCAACGATACAGTATCCCGATCTTGACGGTCGTGCTGAACAACAAGGGCTGGAACGCCCCGCGCAGGTCGATGCTTCTGGTGCACCCGCACGGCGAGGGAAGCAAGGTGGACAATAAAGCGTTGAACATCAGCTTTGAGCCGACCCCGGATTATGCAGGGATCGCAAAGGCGGCGACGGGCGGCCATGCGTGGGCCGGGACCGTGAGCACCGTGGCAGAGCTGTTGGACGCGTTGCCACAGGCGGTCGAGGCGGTTAAGGGAGGCAGATGTGCGGTGTTGGAAGTCAAGATTGGGGCCGAGCTACCAGCGAAGCAAGGTGACGTGAAGATGGAGGAAGTCGCAGCGAGCAGTGGGTAGGGAAGAGGGAGCGGACGGACGGACGAACGAGACTCTTGGGTACATATGGCCGGTGGGTAGGTATATATGTATGTCGCTGTATATGTGCTTCAGACGGACGAGTAGTTCACCATGTCCTCGGTAGGTACCCAGCATCCAATGTCCATGTAGCCAGCTAGCTAGCGGTCGTGATACCATCGGAACGAAACAGGACGGCGAGTTAGTTACACATATTACATATTCCATACGCATATTCCACTCAGTATCCAAATGTGGCCGATGGGGAAGGAGTATTATTATCAGAGCACAACCTCACCATACAATTCGACCGAGAGGCAATTCCATTACTCATTTGACGTATATGAAATCCAAAAACACAAAACATTTCGCAATCGACCATAGGATGTGGAAAACAGGGCTTCCCGTTCGCTCAGCCGTACTTAAGCCACATGCCGGTCAGTTAGTACTAAGGTGGGTGACCACTTGGGAATCCTGACTGTTGATTGTTTTTGCCCTTTTCTTTCCCCCCTCCTTTTTTTCTTGTTTGTATCTCGTAGAATATTTTCGATTTATTGGATAGACGGCGGGAATGGAGAAGAGAGTATATAGAATATCTGGTACAAACAAAGAAGGGGCCAGTGGGCATCTCGCTAGTTGGCTGGCTGGTTTGGGGGGATAGGTCGGTTATTTTTTCTTTCCATTTTCGATTGATTCAAAGTATGGATCTCTTTAATTTTCAAAAGACCCTGGAGCAGCACATCACCTGGGAAACATGTCCTCCCCTACGGAGAATCATTGCGGGCCTTTGTCGAACTACAATATTCTTGGACGTTCGGCTCATGCAACAAGCAAGCAAGCAAGCAATTCATTAAATTCTGTCGAAGGCGCCTTGCCTAACGGATTGCTGCACGGATACGGCTGAATGTTTAGTGGAAAGTCATGGCAGAGGCCTTCACCGTACATGATACCATGTACGCAACAGCAAACAACGAATTTGAACTTCTTGCCCATGAGATCGAAACACGACCGGGACATGCAAGCCCAGAAGGTGTACCTTGTCTCCAATCGGACTTGATATAGGCGCGAAGCCGAGGTGACCGGTATCTGTGTCGGTGAGGACTCGCGAATCTGTCGTTTTCTTGCATGATGCCATAGGCATTTCTGAGCTCCGCCCTCAGTTATTCGTGGCGAGAATCTTTTGAGAGTGATGGTATCGCCCCTGGAAGACCCATGAATTGCGCCAAGGCGAGCCGAGGTTTGGAACCGACCACAATATCATCCCAGAATTCCGTCAAATCCAGAGTTAGCACTTGCCCCACGGCTGCAGCAATCAATTGGTTGGTTGGTTGGTATATCTTGCCTCGCCGATGAAGATCAGGGATGTAAAAGTCAGCATCTACTCGTCTGTCGCAGTCACGGTAGCTGGGAGAATACCCGAGAGTCCCGACTCATTTTTGCTGCCAGAAGTATTCATAAACAGCGGTGAAACTTGCGTGGCACACCAATTAGACATAGGTTTCGGTCTCCCAGGGCGTTCTTACAACTCTCCATGGGCGCCCTCCAATCTGGAACCAAGCTTGGAAGCCCACCCCGACTGTCGTGCTTGGGGCACTCGACTGCACAAAGAATCCTTCCTGTATTACCACGCTGGCCGCCGTCGTGGACGTATCTTTCATGGAGATTGAAAAGTCTGAACGGGTTGATGGTGGTTAAATACTCAGTGAGGATACCAAGGGGCGAGAATATGATGTCGTGAGGCTCGTGATGGTTCGACGTCGAAAGCTAAAGGGACACTCGAGATTATCAATGGGAAGTCGACCATCTGCGCAAACAGATGAGCCGCCTCATTGCGACCATGAGCCCTGCATGCTCTGAAACAGGCATGCCACTGATGCTGTGGAAGGAACCGTCACAAAACCACTCGAAACACTCTAGGGACATCGACTAGCCTCCGCAGATTACATCCACGTCAGTAGGCAGAACGATCTCTTGGACAGCCCATGCTCGCATAAACCATGGGTTTCTCGTCATCTGGTGAATATCGTTCAC